ACCTGAACATCTGGCTGTAACAGACAAAAGTTGGCACTTACAGAGTGGGCTCTACATAAGGGCAGGCATGAAAATGAATTGTTTCTAGCTGTACCTGCTCCAAGGAGGTGGGCTGCATGGCGGCAGGGCTCTGAGTGAACGAGGAAGCAGGGCGGAGGCCGGAGGAGGAGGAGAGCTCTTTCCGATCCGAGCTGCCAGGCTTGTCTGTGCTCAGCTCCACATGTGCCTCTGGGGACAGAATATACTTTTGATTAATGTATGCTTCTCGTAATCCAGAAAGAAAACAGATGACTAATGTGTGCGTTAGACAGGATCAGACAACGCACAGTGTCATACAATAGCACTACTCGTGATTTATCCACAACAGTCCACTTGTTGGATAATAACTGGTTGCATAATGCAAGTTAAAAACATCTTTCATTAGACTTCCCCTGCCTAATAAAATGCCAACATCTTTTAAACTCCAAGCCCAAAGTTTATCATAAAGACTTACTGTTATACATATGTGGTCTCAAACCTAGAGCTACAACTATTACCGTAGTTAAAAAAGAATAAAACAATAATCTGCAACAAGCACTTAAAGTAATAATGTCAAACACTCTCTAGTTCCAGCTTCCAGAATGTTAAGATTTGCTGCTTTTCTATGGATGATACTGTTACAATATCATTATAAACTTAATATATTTGAGACAGTTGACCTACATTACTCTCTTTTACGCTTTTTTCTCTATTTACTAACCGACTATGAATCAACAATTTTTAATGGTTTAATCGAAGATCAAAGTACTCTGCAGTTGCAGCCCCATCCGAATCCAAACTGATAAGACATCCTCTGTTCAGTGTTTACTATGCCAGTGGTGGAACAAGCACTCACGTCTTTTACTGAAGAAAAAGTAGCAACGCCTCAGTGTAAAAATACTGCTACAAGTAATAATTAAGTGATGCATTAATGCTGCAGCTGGTAAAGGTGGAGCTGATTACAAATACGTCTATTTTCTACCAGGTAATCCATAATAACACATCATCATTTCTGCTTTACTTATATTGTGAATGATTATCTGCAAAGTAAAAAGTAATGTTGTCGAATAAATCAAGTAATTAATACAACATTGTCTCCAAAGTGTGAAGCATAAAGTAGCACAAAATGGAAATAAACAAGTGTCTCAATATTGTACTTAAGTACTTGAGGAAATGCACGTAGTTTGTGACCAATAAACTGAACTTGATGTGTAAAAATCAATGAAATGCACCTTTAAGATGCAAGAGCGAAGCTTAAAATAAACAACCTCACAAGACTCTGGATTCTTCTTAGGACCTGTAAGTGCTGCAAACCCGAAACTAAGTGGGGTAAAACTGAGAGGAAATGTCTCCTAACCAGCAAACAGGTCGTTGTCCTCATCAGAGTGAACTCCGTTGGATTTGGCAGGTGTGCTGCTGGCCTCCTCTTCCTCACTGAACAGGTCTGGCTGAGAGACTCCTCGACTCACAGCCACTGGGTTACTCTGCAGACAGAAAGGGAACAGAAAGGGAAAGGGACACGGGTTCTTCATTAATGAGCCACAGACACACTTTAATACACAGAACTCAAGGGACGACAGCAGAGGAGTCGTCTTGTCTCATGACCAGAACACAGTAAAGCAAGAGGAATAAGAAGAAGGTGGCCGGGTGGGGTCATGTGAGCTGGACATTAGGAAACCCAAAACTTAAAACCATAACAAAAAAATATAAATACCAGCTGTTGAAAATCTTTAAATGAACAATTAAGCAGCAGAGCATGGGCCGACAAACCCAACAGCAATGTTAAGTTTTACCACATAAAAGTCTAAACTGCTCCATTTGTGCGCTGCTAACTAACTTTAAGCGTCAATTTCGTCGCTTTTATACAACATTTTCACAACATTTTCCGCCTCTGAAGTCTGAAGTCAGTGTGAATGCAGGTCAGATCAGATAAAGAGGCTGACTTACTGGCCCGACAACAACCGAACAGCTGTTAATTCATGAGAATGAGCTTTGAACGTACGTTGCTGACGAAGATGTCCTCTCCCTCGTCGCTGTCTCCGTCTGGCATGTCGGACGGTGCAGCTGCAGACTCCTCTGCTGCAGGGAAAGGAGGAGGACTCCGATCTGAGCTGGCCGCCATATTCCGTGTTGTGAAGGAGGGGGAGGAAGTTGAAGGAGCGAGGAAGGTGAACGCGGACGGCTGCAGCGACACCTGCTGGTCGCCGAGCAGCACGACAGAAGAAGATATACTTTATTGATCCCCTAGGGCAGTGTTTTTTAATCCTGGTCCTTGGGGGCCAATGCCCCTGCATGTTTTAAGAGTTTCTCCTCCTCCACCCACCCTGATTCAACAATGACTCAGCTCCGTCATTCAACTCCTGCCATGGCCTGAAACGATCCCTCATTTGAATCAGGTGTGTTGGAGCAGGAAACATCTAAAACATGCAGGCCATTGGCCCCCAAGGACCAGGATTGTGTAGCCAAGTCCCTACACACTGAGCTACTGCCGCCCCTAAATATATATATAATATATATATAAAGGACAACCTGTAGTTTAGTTTAAATAAAGTACCTGAAATGTATCTCCTTTAGTGTGAAGAATATTTAAACCCCATAATATGGAAATATTATTGATAGAAAGTAAATATAATTGTATAACTGGTTTTGCCTTAAGGTTTCTTTATTAATGCCTGAACACTGTTTTATTTATACATCTTGTATTACTATTGAGTATTGTATTCCATTATTGGAAATGTTATTGTTTTTGTTTGTTTCAGAATCAGAAATACTTTATTTTATAATATTTATCCTATTTTATATACTTTATTTTATCTTTATATATATTCCCATCCGTTTTGTTGAGCTTGTTGTCCTGCTTGTTTATGCTTAGTCTGTGTCTGTATGTACCATTGACAGTATATAGGTATGTACATAATGTAAAACAGGAGTCAAAATTATTTTGATGGGTTTCTGTTAGTTGAAGTTGTTTTGATGAACACATTTTCAAAGGCAATAAATCAGAGGGAGGTTTTATTTTGTTAAATTTGCGGTTTATAGTTTTTTGGCTGTGGAGGCTCAATTTAAGAAGGAATAAGACTAAACTACATGTTTTTATTAATCAAATTCCAGTAGAATTCAAAGTTTTAAAATAGAAATTACAGTAAATCAAGAGCTGTGACACTGAAGGAAATATTCTTCCATTAACTGACCTTACCTTCATTTGCAGACAGTTTCCTCCCAACTTAGCTGAAGAGACAGACAGTCGTAAGAACTTCTCTGAATGTAGAAAAGCTTTGCTTACGCTTCATTTGGATTATTTACTGTTCACCGTGATGATAGTTCAGTGAAAGCTTGAAGGAGGCTGATCTACAGCTGAACATTAATTCAGATTTACATTTTATATTCAGGGGCGCTAAGCCTAAAATGCTGCAGTATTTATCTGAAACAGTGAAGTCAAGTCAAGTTGTGGTGAGATTGTATGAGCTGTTGATAAAACTCTAATATTTAATTTATGGATTCTTTTCACAGTGTAGTGAGATGAAGATATCTCATAATAATATACTTTTTCAAATTCTTGACATGGAGCCTGTACTGATTTTGCACAGCAGCACTCCGCTCTTGATTTTATATCTTACCTAAACAACAGAGTAGATACAGTAGTGACTCTTTTCAGTCAGAGGGTTTTTTCAGCCATTCTGGATAAACAATAAAAACACTAAAGCCCATTTTTGTAACCACAAACACACTCATATATATATAACAGGATGCCACATGTACCCGAATTGTTAAAGATATTTTTTTTTCAGTTGATCCTTACAGTATTACAGAAAACCTTGTTTACTTAAACTCGCACATGTCAGCGTTTTTGAATGTCACTGTTTATGTGTCATGCCACACTTTTCAGCTACATCAACAGCCAAATGCTGAGTGACTCAGCTCCATCAGCCACTCCGGCAGGAAGCCAGTTTTTATCCAGTCTCACATGACTTACTATGACAAGAATATATCAAATAGAAAGCTGATCAAACAACTACTAGCTGGCAAAACCTTACCTTCATGCTGAAGTACTACAGCTAGTACAGAGGTTAGCCAATTAATGTGAGAGTAAGAACAAAACAGAAGAAGTGAGGTTACATTGTAAACTACAATACTGAAATGGCATTTTAACAATTTGTGACTGTACAAATAATGGTTCATTAATTGAATGCAGTCTTTGTCAGGCTTCACATAATTCACTTAATATATAAACGTAGAAAAGCAATCCTTGACTTTAGGGCCTGACTAACAACTGGTGATTCTCAATCAAATAATTAATTGTTTGATCTACAAAACTTCAGAATGTTTAAATTGCTAATTTTGTCTGAAAAACAAAGATATTAAGTTTAATGTAGACATGCTTATGTCAAGGACCCCCACAATAGATGCACATTAGACCACAGACTCCCCAATTTCAGGGGATTTTGTCTTAAGGAATACCCTCTTAGAAGTCTTTTATTTTCAGGTTTTGAAGATAAGGTCAATCAATGATAAAACTGAGATCACTATATAAATCATTTCATCCCATTTCTTCCCTTGATGTTCCAGCTTCCAAAACAATGTGACAAAAGTTAAAATATTCCAATTCTCCTTTTGCTGGGGACCCTCTATCACACACTCAAGTACCTCTGCTGGTCCCCGAGCCCTAGTTTGACCACTGGATGACTAACAAAAACAGGAATTAAGGTCACGTTAGGAGATGGACCCAGGGAATTGTCGTGAACTTTTGCCTTATAAATTGCTGAAATTATTTGTTTTTTATGAAATTCTTGCTTGTTATGTTTTCTGTTGATTGACTATTCAACCTTTCCCTGCACTCATGGGGTACAGTAGATGAGTAATGTAGCTTTTGGATTGTATAATACTGATAACAACCTATTTTAGTACACGTCAGTGATCAATGAATGCCACGTTAATACCCGACAGGCTTCCTGATCATGTTTGATGAAAAGAAGACGAGCAGAAACATTTACTTTGTTAGTATTCATAATAGTTTGTATACACAATGTATAGGAGCACCAATAAAAAAACATATTTTTTTCCAAACCTTTTTTCAACATTTTTTAAAAAGCCACAGATTTTTTTTCTACAGAAAGCAAAGAAAGCTCTGTACATGAACAAGCAACAACAGAATTCCTCATCATGAGCTGCGAAGTGAACAACTCAGCTGCTCAAATTCATATCATCTCTGAAGCAAAAAAAAAAAAACAAAACATAAAAAACAAGACCAGCTGCCTGCTGCTTACCTAGGACACTACATTACACAAACAGCTTTTTGATATTTAAAACACAAGATATGTAAGAAATGTACTTTTCAAAAATTGTGAAAAAGTGCAATACAGGTTCAACTGTTTACAACTCAATAGATTATTTCCCAAATGGAGTCCGGTCCTTTTTCTCCCCCCAGTTTGTTCTCAATAATTTTTTCCCCAAAACTTGTTCCTTGTTTGTATCCATAGTTAAAATCTCTTACAGTTATATTGACATTCATGACGATGTACATTTATGAGAAACATGGTATTCACAAAAGTAGAGCAAATTACTATGATTGCAAATGACAAATTTCTTTGGGTAAGAGGATAATGAAAAACTAGTTTCTTAGATGAACTTTTTTTTCCTTTTTACATCGGATTTGTGTATAGAACAAGCTTCTTTTTTTTCTTCTTCATACAAAAACTACCATGTAAAAAAAAATCTGGGAGTCCCATTCAAAAGGCCAACATCTTTGCATCTTATAAGATTTTGTAAAAGAACCAGGGCATCTGATGAAGAACAGCAGGAAAATACAGCAAACACACTCCGCTGTGGGAAAATGCACACATGGTTCAGCAGTACAGACGTCTGAAACCAAATATTGGTTTTTTGAAACGACACACATATTCGACCGAACTTCTCGTAAAAAAGATAACTCGTCTGTTGCAGGTGATTGATTGATTGGGTGGCATGTGAGTTTTTTTTTGTTTTGTTTGTTTTTTAGTAGGGGTGGGGGGTCAGCGCCCTGAGTCCTGGTACCCCTGACCTGTGAGGAGATACTGTCAAGTCCCACAGATCTATATAGAAACTGCCTGTCACCGGCAGTGAGTGACAGCACAACTCCAAGCGTCATCCGCAGAGAGCCGAGTCGTAGCGACTGTCCAACATACAAACACGTTGGTAAGGCTTTTAAAACGGAGCTCCCACAACAAACAAAAGACTGAAAAAGAAGACGTTTTATTGTACAAAGCGGGCAACACAATGCCAGAGAAGAATGTACTGTAGAAACACATCAGGCTTCTCTCCCCTTTTGATATGAAAACTGAGCTTCAGGACTCATTTGTAATCCCACTTTCATCCCAAATAATAATAATGAAATATGGGAGACATCAAAAGAACGAGGCAGTTTAAAAAAAACACAACATATGTACAGGTTTATAAGGATATGTGTGTAAAAAAATAATACAATAACATAGAAAATAATAAAAAGTCATGGCACAATATATGACACAAGGGGGTAAAAACCAAAAAAAATTACCACGTTTATGAATAATGTCGGCTTGTAAAGGGGGGGCTGATATCCAATGTTCACTTCACTGAAACGGCCCAATAGATATACAAAATGCACAAAGAAAACACTAATCAAACAAACACTGTGTGTAGACTGCGCCACAAAACCAGCATATTTTTGGACTTTCTCCTTTTGACTTGACATTGAATCAACCGTTGTCTCATCTTGAGTGAGCGTTAGCAACAAAAAAACCTACCGTACGTATTTTTGCTGAGGAAAAAATTCACAATCTTCCGGTTGATAGCGACCAATGTTTTAAAGTTCATTGTCTCTGAGAATGGTTCTTCATAAAAAGATGAAGTGTGACACTTTTTCTTCCCTCTCATGGCAATCTCCTTCCTGAGACTGAGCAAGGTAAGCTGAAAAAAAGTTCCTAAGTTTCAGTCTGGAGTTTGTTTGTTTTTTTTTTCTCTGCAGGGGGATGTGAGAGTTTTTCTTGGGCACAAGAAGCCATTTTGTGTCCACCAGCCTCTGGCTCCCAAGGTTTATGTTTCGTTACGTTTGTTTGACTTTCGAGAGTGTGTCTTTCTGTATGTGTGTGTGTGTGTGTGTGGATGACAGAGAAAGTGTGTCTGCATGTGTGAAGGTGTGTGTGCATGCTCATGGCGCTGTGGTGATGGCGTTCAGGTCCTTCATCAGGCCCTCAAGGTGGGCCATCTCCTCGGTCAGCTCGTCGGGCTCGTAGCTCTGAGGGAGAGGAACAGGGTTACTGCGAGGGGCGGGGGAGGGGCAGGG